GTGCAAGCACACAATTGTGTAGAAACAATGAAAAAGGCACAATATTTGTGTCTGCTATAAAAGATAAGAACAAATAAAATATTTACTTTAATCTCTTCTAGCATCTTCGGAAATAATAGACTTAGGTTTAGACTTATCATATGAATTGTAATTGGCATTAGACTTGTATAGAATATGGGCCTTATTCTTAACTCCTTCCCTCAAACTGAGAGGATATGTCAATGACATCAAGTTTGCTCCTCATATATATGAAAGGAGAATGATACAATGGTTTTGTGAATAAGTCAGTATTATGTTCTTTTGATGGAACATAGTTGATTTATAATTTTCTTGCAAGAACTTGATCTCTCATATAATGAACATCTATCTCAATATGCTTTGTTTTAGTATGATATACTGAGTTTTTTGCCAATATTGTTGTACTGATGTTGTCACACCAGGGATGTATCTATATTAGGGATAGAGGGGGCAATTGCCCCCACTAGAAAAAAAAAATTTATTTTATTTTTAGTTAAAACTATACTTACCCCCTCTTTAAAATTATAATTGCCCCCCCAAAAAAAATTAATTGCCCTACAGTCTATTTAACATTGTCAAGCATACATATTAAAAAACATTGTTTACTCATATTTATTATAAAAATAAATTTATGTTGCAAATGACATTAATATATATTTTTAAAATTATCATATATTTTATTTATATATTATTTTTTTAATATTTATAATTATATTTTCTTCAAAATAATTAATATTTATATTTAGTATAAATTTTGCCCCCTCTAATAAATTTTTCTGAATCTGTCATTGTGTCACACCATATGACAGGTGTGCAAGTTCTTGGAATCCATAGCTCAGGGAGTAAAGAATTAATCCAAGTGTTAGCCAAGGCTCTATATTCTAATTCAGTGCTTGATCTAGCTATAACACTTTGTTTTTCAGAGCACCATGACACTAATGAATTGTCAAGATATACATAATAGCTAGTCACAGAACCCCTAACAATTGGACATGCTGCCCACTTTGCATTAGAATATGCAGTTATATACATTTGTGCTGGAGGAGTAATGAAGATACTGGTGCAAGCCGTTCCTTTGAGATATATGAAGATACGTTTGACTCCTTTCCAATGTTCTCTGATAGGTTTGCTAAGAAACTGACTTAGTTAATTTATAAGTGAGTTAAAAGTTGAGGAACTGAGTTACAATAAGTCATAATTGAGGGATTGAGTTACAAGTGAGTTAAAAGTTAAAAAATTAAAAGATTAATTTTTTTAAAAAATATATGCTTAAATCATCATCATCATCAACATTGTTAAGTCAGATGGCTTTCTATTGAATTTATATGGGTGTTTATATGGATACAGATGAAAGTTTTTTTTATGCCCACTCAATTAACTCAAGGCAATATATACAACCAGCACTAAGATTTATCCAGCGAATGACTGGTCTTCTCGCACGATTCTTAGAAAAATTTGAGCTTTTTCTTTAAAAAAATATATTTAAAGAGTGAGTTTAAAAATTCAAAATATCCAATTTTAGATTTACAGGTTAAACAAGCCGGAAAGCATCCATTTTCTTTGTTAAGAATCTGGTTTGCCTTCTAGAATATAGTTATCACTAGGGATTAAAATCCTTAGTTTCTACTCCCTCCGTTCTTATATATAAAAAATTTTTTAGAATCTTTTTTATTCCTCAATATAAGAGGTTATTAATATATTTTTTAATGAATGAATCATTATACCCTTATTTGAATTAAAAAGAGAAAAAAATAAGTATTCTCTTTAATTTACTTTAAAAAAGAGATTTATTTTTTATTTATAATAATTAGGGGCAAAATTAAAATATTGCTATGTTTTTAATTAGATAATTAATTTTTATTGATTTGAATGATTCAGTTAAAAATATCTTATATGTAGAGATGGAGGAAGTAACTGAGATCATGTTAAATTGTTAATTATATAATATTCAATCTTTTCGCCCGGAACCATTCAATGTGAAGTTCCAAACCGCTAAACCAAGTCATTCTCGACCTTTAATAGCACTTCATTTCCAAACCAACGTCATCAAATGCCGTCACATTAATTAAAATATATTTGTAAAATATTTTTTAAATAATCATCAACCATTTTAAATTTATTACTCATTATGCGATGGAGATCGAACGTCCCCTGCGTTAAAGCTTTCACTGCCTACCGTTGAGATCTTGCTTGTTGCTAAAACGGTATTAGTTGCTCTGCTCATTTCATCAATTTAAAGAAAAATAATAATAAAATCCCACCAAAATATATAAATAACAAATAGGCGCCTTAAAATATTATAATTCCTCTAAAGTCTTTAAGTACCTTGTTGACATTAATAATTTTAGGTTAAATGATTAAATTACTTATTGTTTAAAATAAAAAAAATAATGGATTCACATTCTTGTTCAATTCTTGCTGCTCATAGAATAAAAGTTATAATTGTTTAAATAAAAGTTATAATTGATTATTTTCAAAATTTGGACTTGAATGATAAAAGAAATTTCACGTGGCAAGTTGTGATTTCTTGTTTAATTCTTATTGTGATTGGTTATTTTCAGAACTTAGATTTCAATAATAAAATAAATTTTACATGAGAAATTGTGATTTCTTGTTCAATTTTTGTAATTCACAAAATTAAAGTTATGATTACTTAAATAAAGTTGTAATTGAGATTGAATATTTTCAAAACCTATTTTAAATCATAAAAGAAATTTCATGTATGAGGTTGTAATTTTTTTTAATTTTTGTGATTCACAAAACAAAAGTCATGATTGTTTAAACAATGGTTATAATTAAAAAAATGAAGTGAGATTTGTTATTTTTATTTAATCTAAAATCATTAATATCGTAAAAGTACTCATGAATTTCAGAGAAATTATTAAATTTTAAGAAGCTTTATTGTCATTTATATATTTCAATAAAATTTTATTGTAATTTTTTCTAAATTCAATGTGATTATATATATATATATATATATATCATTCTTTGACCTTGTGTTAGCGTACAGCCTACACTTTTATATAATAATTTGATTAAAATATATTCTGGTGTGATATATATATATATATATATATATATTCAAATCTATTCACCCAGCCCATGTATAAAAAGATGTTTTTAATTTTTATTAGTCGTCAAACACTTTTATTTTTTTAATTGTGCGGTGGAGATTGAATTAGTGCCTCGTGCAACCCCCGGGGATAATTACTAGTTTCAGTAATTTGTGACTTTATTATATTTTAGTTATTACTAATATCATTCATTATCTGACATATAATTTCCTTTTTTAATTTCATTTTAGTTAAGCATATGCTTGTTCAAAGTTATTAAATTTGTGAGTTTAAGTAAACACGTGACAGAAATATAAACTCGAATCGTAAATTCGTAAGAATTTACTTTTATTAGTAAATAACCATTCAAAATTTATTATTAAATAATTAAACTGTAAAATATGGTTGTAATTTAATTTAAATGTATTTAAAATATAAATCATTAAATTTAAATGCATTTACATTGATAAACTATCATCCAAAACATAGAAAATTTAAAATAATGAGAGAAACTTATTTTTGGTATTTTTTTTATAAATATTTGTTTTTGCTTTTTAAGTTTTTTTTCCCTCTTTGCACTGGATTATTTAACTTTTATGAATCAAATTCTTCATTATTTATTCTTAACTTGCTTAACTCAGAAAAAAAAAATTAACAAGCTAAGCAAGTTTAGTGCTTGCATTTAGTCTAAGTTTATGAATTAATTGACACAAAAATGTAAAAACAGTAAACTCAAAGATAAACTTACGAGTTTAATTGAGTTTGTGTCTAGTATGAGTTTATGAGTAAGTTAATTCGATTTTATAAGTTAGAAACGTAAAAATATTAAAATTGAAAAGCCAATTCGAAAGTTTGACAATTATGTGCTTGTCTCCATTTCTTTTTTTTTTTTAAGTAGAACTCTATTAACTACTCTCTTGAATTAAGCAAGTCGGCTAAAATTAATTAAATGTTAAATATTTTTACAACATTCTACTATTATATCTTTAATAAATTAAAGTCATGATTTAAGTTAGGAGTGAATTAGACAAGGATATTTTTTTAAAAAATGAATTATAAATATTTCCATTAAAGTTTCTAGAATGCCGTACATTAAAAATCACGGAATAAGGTTTCATAACTAGGAGGACAAGGGTACAAAGGATAACAAAATGGATGGCGCTGGGAGAAAATTTAATGGGGCCATGCATGTAAAGATTAAAGATATATGGCCATTATTATAATTAAGCCTAAATAAAGTGATCTATTTGAAAAAGTTTTAAAGCTTAAGAGGTGTAATTGTCATGGAGTATAGAGACGAGAGTAATATTTATAATTTGTTGAAGGGCCAAACTGTAAATATCACGGACTTAAGTTCATAAATAGGGGCCGTAGTTTCTGAACTAAGCATGGCGTGAAATTGATTCTTTGACCCCTTCAAGAGAACCATAAGAAAATTTGTGATGTTTACAATTTGAAAAATTCCAGTACATCGATCCATCAACATATGAAATCTTGTAATACATTTGACTATTGATTGAAGTACGCTCTCGCATTCAGTTCTATTATTTTGAGATTGTATATAAGTTCATGGACTTGATTGCAATCAATTCTATAGTTTGAGTGTGAATTCGATTAATTGAGAACGGCCAATTCCAACATATGGATGTGGTCAGAGCAAGTTGGGGGACAAGTCAAAACTGGAGACTGCGTATACACAAGATAAATATATTTTGTTTAATTAGTCCCGTTTAATTTGTCCGCAACCACATGCGTCTCAGTCGATGAATTGTTCAGGAAATGCAGTGTGGTTTTTTATTTTTTATTTTATTTTTCTACAGCATGACTTAATCAAGAATTTGACAATTCAAACTCCAAATTAATGTTCGCTAAATATATAGCTCCTCAGTTACATGGCTGATCATTTTACCCTCATTACTTGTATTGCGAACAACTTTATTAATAGCCCAAAATGGTTCAACTACTCTATTATTATTCCTGCGTGCCATTATGGCCTATCGTTTCTTTGGCTTTTTTTATTTCATTCCTTTCTCACCTGCTTATTCTCACCGCCCAGCCTGAATTCCGAGATTACAATTGTTACCCAAAAAGAAGTAACTTCAAGAACGCAAGTGTCTACCACAACAACCTCAAGGCCATTCTTTCTAATTTCAGTTCCGACGACACAAACATTGAATATGGGTTCATCAATTCCTCTTATGGCCAAAGCCCTAACATGGTTTATGCACTTGGATTCTGCAGAGGAGATGTGAAGCCAGGTCCCTGCCGTACTTGCCTCCACAACGCCACAATCCGTCTCCCACAAAAGTGTCCCAATCGGAAGGAGGCTGTCGGAATCTATGACGATTGCATGTTTCGATACTCATATCACCCAATATATGGGACATACAAATACAACATCTCGGATGTAAGATACTTGTGGAACCCGGCAAATTCAACAAAACTCACTGGTGCATATGTAGAGGTGCAATTGGATAAAGTAAAGAGCCAAGCACCAACCGGGGAGTCTCATCGTAGGTTCGCAGCAGCGAATGATACAACAAGCAAATCTGGGGATGTCTATGCTTTTGCTCAGTGCAGTCCCGATCTGTCTCAGGATGATTGCAGGTCCTGCTTACAGAATGTTTATGATGGAATCCCACTGTGTTGTGAAGGAAAGAATGGTGGTAGGGTTATAAATCCCAGCTGCTATATTAGATATGAGAGCTACCTCTTCTATAACTACACCGCTGTTTCATCACAGCCATCTTCTCCACCATCCACCACAGTAACGGGCCCGGAAGGTACCTGCCTAATCCTATTCTTCATCGTTCAACCATATACAGGAACCCTTATTCAAATAAATAGGAGTAGTTTGAGAAAATAAAATAAAATAAAATAAATGTGAGAGATAAAGAAAATTGAAAGTCTTACATTTAGAACCACAACATAATTTTCAACTAGCTTCTATTTTATTGGCGAAAAAAAAAAACCAGCTTCTATATTAACTTATTAAGAATCAAAGAAGTATGTATGTGTATATCAATGGGTGCATATAATTTAAAATTAATATAATAGATGGCTGAGATTAAATACTTAGGAACGCTTCAGATTTAAATGGGTGGGGAAGCCACGTGGAGACATTTAAAGAGCTTGAGCGAGGGACGGCTGAGATCTCTCCGCCTAGGCAACAAGCATAATGTGGAAGGATTTACTCCATCTTAATTTTTTTTTTTTTTTGGGTTCTAGTTTTGTAGAAAGTCCTCCTAATCAACCTGCTAGCCACAGGCGCCGTCGCGCTGCATATATAATAATATAATTCTAAATTATATATACATGCAGAATAGATTTTATATAACACATACATGCAGAATAGATTTTATATAACACATATTCTTATGATATGTGAAGGTTGCGTTCTGCTTGTTTTTCAGAGTCGAGGATTTAAGTTACATCTTAGTTTATCCACCCCACATTTCTCCCAAAAAAGGAAAAAAAAAATCCATTCTGATGTAGAGGTAGCAAGCTTATATATATTTGAGATTGATAAAGTTCTAGATCATACATAGAATTGAACAAAGCATAACAATTGCCGTGAGAAGATATGTATGTGGATGAAACTTCCTAAGTTTGAACAAAATGATTGTGCTCTTTAGCATTTACTTCGGTGTTTCTCTTTCCCAAATGCCAAAGAACGGAGCACAACCAATTGATTAAAAAAGATACAAAACTGCTTTGAAACATTAAAGTAGTATATACCTTCCCCTTAATTTCTTTGTTATCACCATCAACTGTCTTGTGCTCTCAATAACAATAGACGCGTTTATTTGGTTTTATGTAATCAGGAGGAAGTGATAGCACTGGATCACAAACTAGTAATGTTGTCAAGATTATTATCCCCGTTATCATCTCAGTAATACTTTCTTGTTTGGTGGGTTGCTGTTTGCTAAGGAGAAAAACAAGGAACAACAGTCAATCTATTCTCAGAGAAAACTGTAATATATTGTTTATTCACTTTTAAACTTACAATGTTTAGTTTTTAACTATAGTATGCTTACATTGATGTTCAAATATACTGGTCCAGTTGGGGAAGAAGGTTCAAATCTGAAGTCCTTGCAATTCAATTTGGTTACCATTGAAGGTGCAACAAATAAGTTTTCTGAAAAAAACAAAATAGGAAAAGGAGGATTTGGAGAAGTTTACAAGGTAATATGCCAAAAACTGACTACCAATAACTAATTATCATACATCCTAATCCTAATAATTCAATTATGTCTTTAGGGCATTCTTCCTGATGGACGAGAAATTGCTGTCAAGAGACTCTCAAAAAGTTCGGTGCAAGGAAATTTAGAATTCAAGAATGAAATTTTGCTTATAGCTAAACTCCAACATAGAAATTTAGTGACGTTATTGGGATTTTGCTTGGAAGAACAAGAAAAAATTCTTATTTATGAATATGTGCCTAACAAGAGCATTGATTTCTTCTTATTTGGTACAAAATACTCTATCCTTGCTTGTTTCCATCTTATGGTTAAAGTTCTATGCACATTCTTTATATATGGATTTTTCCTAGAAATTCATTGCTAATACTTATTTTGATAATTATCATTTGATTTAATTATATAGATTCTGAAAAACAAAGCTTACTCACTTGGTCTGAGCGTTTCAAAATCATTGGAGGAATTGCACAAGGACTTTCTTATCTACATGAACATTCTCGACTTAAGGTTATTCATCGTGATCTCAAACTTAGCAACATTTTATTAGATAATAAGCTGAATCCAAAAATATCAAATTTTGGTATGGCAAGAATGATTTCTATAGATGAAGACCAAGGAAGCACAAACAGAATTGTTGGAACATAGTAAGTCTTGTTGCCCTCCTTCCTATTTGCGAGTTGTCTTAATCTTTTTTGCCCAATAACTTTTTATCTTAATCCATTGCATGAGAAACAAAAGGAGATTATTTATATTTACTATGTGAATATTGCTTTATATATACAATTTATCACTATAATGAGTTTTCCTTTATGTCCTCATTTGTCCCCAAATTGGTCCTTGTATGTTTTCCATATCATACTTGTACATACTGATATATTTTTTTTTCACAGTGGATATATGGCTCCTGAATATATTTTATATGGACAATTTTCTGAAAAATCTAATGTATTTAGTTTTGGAGTTATAATTTTGGAACTGCTTAGTGGCAAGAGGAATGCCAAATCCCTTGAATCATACCTCTTAACCAATGTAAGTATTAAATCATGTTAATTGCTGCTCCTATATATTATAATCATATTTTCTTGTAACTTAGGTAAATTATGCCAATGTGAAAATTGAAGGCTATGAATTTGAGTATCTAATTCTTAAAATTATTTCAGGTGTGGAAGCTGTGGAATGACGGAACACCGTTACAAGTGTTGGACACTTTTCTAATGGAATCTTGTTCTCAAACTGAAGCAGTAAAATGCATTCAAATTGGATTATTGTGCGTGCAACAAAATCCAGATGAGAGGCCAACAATGGCTCAAATTGTTTCATATCTTAGTAATCTTTCCATTGAATTACCACCTCCAAGAGATCCCGCTTTCTTTATGCATTCAAATGCAACTATGGCAGCAGAATTCAGTTGGGATCAAACTCATCAGTGTTCAACTTCTAAATCAGCAGGTTCGAATGAAACGTCTCAGCTCTTGAGTCGATAAAATGATGAGGTCTTTTCCACATGTATACATGTACATGTCATGAGATGTATTAACTTTCATTTTGCGTATTGATGGTAAATAATGTATGCCTTTTGATGTTTCTGTACGTACTTCCATCAAATTCCTCTATTAATTTAAGCAAAATATTTTGTATTGCTAACTAACTACATGTAATTTATCGATCATGGTTTATTTGTTATATGTACCAGTACGATCGTGAGCTATTCATCCAAATTTCACAATCCGTTTTAGTATCATTGCATTAAGTGACAAGTCACAACGTGTTCATAAGTGGAGCTAATAAATGGATAGTCAATATGGGCTCAAGTCCAAAAGCCATATTATATTGAAGTCCCAGTCAATTTTTTAAACTCTGTCCTTACTGTTCGAGCTCAGGGCTTGGCCAATAAACTCTTTTTATCTATTTATTTTCATTTTTCAATTTTTTTCATTTTAAAATTATATTTAATTTTTATATTATAATATTACATATTTATTTTTTTAAAATACAAATCATACTAATTAAAAATTAGGAAAAACATAAACTTTAGGTTCTTGTACTTTAATTTGCTCATGTTTTGATATTAGTACTTGTACTTTTTTTTGGTGTTTTTGATGTCTGTACTTTTATTTTTTATTGTTTTATATCTCTATACTTTATTCATGAAAGGACCTAAAATAATAAAAAATAAAAATATAAGGACCAAAAATACTGAAAAAAGTACAGAGATCAATAGCAAAACGTGAGCAAAGTATAGACTTAAAGTTATCTTTTTTCCTAAAAATTAAAAATAAATTATATAAATTCTCATTTTAAAGCATATAAACGCATGTTCTAAGATTTAAATTTAATTTAAAATTGGAAAATATGTTATGTTTTGAATGAGGGGGCCTTTTTTTAAAACATCAACAACTTGATAGGCAGAAGGAACATAACCCACCAGATGAAGTTCAACTTGCTTTGTTTTGAAGTGTAAATCAAGGTTAGCTAATAGAGCAATTATGCCTGAGTTAAGACTTATGAGGCTAGATAAGCGTAGATTTTTTATATCTGCAGATGCGCACCGCATGCTGATCACCTAAAAAAAAGTGATTTAAGCCCTTCATTTTCTCCCTCAAATGATCCCTGATGTTGATTTTAAGTTATTTTTTAAATATTTTTAATATTATAATTATTTAAATAAAAATATATAAAATCATGAAAAAATTAATATTAAATTTAGACTATCGAGTATATCCAAGTAATCAATTTAAAAAAATTATAAAAAATTTTAATATTAAATTAAATATTTCAAATTATATCTATATATAGTACAGAATATATATATAGTTAATTTGTAAAAATTATAAAAAATAATATTAAATTAGGCCATTTAGATTAAACATGTACTGACCAAATTATTGATAAGTAATTTTATTAAAGAATGCTATATTTTTTACATATTTTTATTTAAATAAATATAAAATAAAATAAAAAACTTAAACTTGAATTGTCCAAATCTCATCAAGGGTGATGACTATCATGACATTTATCCTCCAATAAGCATAAAAAACAGTCTAGATTTAATAATAATTTTTATACTTTTTATATATTTTTATTTTGATAAATATAACATTAAAAATATTTTTATAAAAATTAAAATTAATGGCAAAGAGCATTTGAGGAGAAAATGATTGGCCCAAATCACTTTATAGGTGATGAGCACAGAGTGAGGATCTAGTTTTTCTACATTCACACATTTCCAAGAAGAGAGATAAGAGCTATTGAACATGCATCAATGTTCATCTTAAGTACTCATCACGGATCTAGATTGTCTAGATATAATCCAAATAGTTCATATTAAAAGCTTTTAATTTATATTTTTATTTTATATCTATTAAAAATAAAATTTTTTAATAAATCCATTCATCATTAATCTAAATAATCCAAATGTAATCTTGATGATTTTAACTTAATATTAAAATTTTTTATATATATTTTTATAAATTGAATATTCAGACAAACACGGGATAGTTCGGATTAAAAATTTATAAAAATTATAAAATAATGTAATATTAAATTCAAACTATTTAAATTAAGTATATATAGATTATCCAAAATTGGTGATGAGTAGATTTATTAAATTTTTTAGAAGTTTTTATTTTGATGAATATAAAATACAAATATAAATATGTATTAAAAGTTTTAGATATAGACGGTCAGAATAGATCTAGCCAATCCATATCTCATCAAGGTGATAAGCACCATAATTTGATGAGCAATGTTTTTATAACCAAACTAGATATTGAACTGAAAATACTAGTTATTTACAGTTTGCTTGATCCAACCAGGTTGGACCAATAGTCGAACTGATGATATAATAATTAAATTTAAAAAATTATATATGTATATAATAATAATATAAGAAATAAATATAAAATTATTACTTATTTAAAAATAAAATTAAATATTTTAAATTTATTACAACTTAACAAGTCACGTGATGCAATATATAACATCAAATGATTAAAAAAATTAATTATTTAAAAAAAATTAATAAAAAATTAACAAAAAAAGGTTTTTTAACAGTCTAGTTTTTAAAAACTGAATTCAGTTCCTGGCTTAATCCCAATTTTTGATTTGACTATCGGTCCAACATGGCCCAACTCTCTAAATGATTTTTTCATCTTGGTTGAACCGTTAGTTTGACAATTGACCATCCAGCCATCCCGTTTGATTTAATTTTTTTAATCATTGCAAATGAGCACGAGTGTGGGGATGGACCCGAGGATGTCATGGGATGCAGAAATGGTGTCCTGCCAAGTTGTAGTTTGTAGAAGCTATCCCTGCAATCTTGTGCGAAGGTAAACCCAGTTCTTGTCTCGCCTCTGCCTGTTTTTACAAGATTTTGGGTGCAAAGAAATTAAAGGCAAGTTAGTTAATTGAGAAAAAATGAAACATGAAGAACACAAAGCAAATGAGTTACTATCACTCATGCAAATTTGGGATATATCGTACGAGCAATCTGGCATAACCCGATGATGTATATTTCTGGAACACAGTAGATGTAACGAAACCTATGGATTGAATCCTATTTCAGACTTCGTATGCATGGCATCATTTCTTTCTCTTTTAGAAAAAGATATATAGCTTTTCTTAATTTCTCATCATAGCATGCATGCTTCTTCCCTGCAAAAGTAAAACGCGTGAATCAATAAATTTCTTTGTTATATTAAACTTCCGAAGTAATCTTTTCGTACATACAATAAACGTTTTGAAATTAGGAAAAGTGATAGTTATGTGAAAGACTTCAAATTTTAAAAATTTCATTATAAGGACCGACTTTTTTTTGCTGTAATTAAAATAATTATTGGCGGCTGAACTGGAGAGCTCAAATTTAAATTTGGTGAGTGGTCTAAATGTTAAAAACATCTCAAAAATTAAATAAAATGATTTGAGTTGAGTTTAATGAGCATACCAGAAAAATCTATGCCTCTAGAGAAAATATATAATCGAGTAATTGAGAATCTCATTTACCTTGAAAGTATAAAGACACACAACTTACTAAACTCTTTTAGTCTTCAAAGGTACAGAGAAATATCCGAAAGTATGTGGAAGACAGTGAGATGTCAAACCTATAAAGAATAGGGTTACATTCGCTCACACTACAATAATTTAAAAAAAAAAAAAGGTCTTTTGATGCGTTTATATAAAGAAATGCTTCCAATATGGCAGACCGGCGGGGAGCATTTTCATAAATTTAAAACAACCATTAGTAAATGAGTGTTGGGAGGATTATGAGTGTATCAATTTTTTATTGAAAAACTTTAAAAGACATACAATAATTTTTCTCAATGTAGAGGCCACAATCATGACAATTTACAACAAATTTAAATTTGATACAAGTAAAGGAATATTGTCCATGTGATGCAACGTGTAATTTTCCCCATCGCATCATATAGATAAAAAAAATTGGAAAATACTAATATAAAGAGCAAGAAAAAATTAGTACAGTGAAATTATAAACTTTGATGTGTCCTTAAGAAATTCACAAGCGTAGTGAAATTAAATGACTAAATGAGACATTCTTTAACAGTTAAGATAATTCATATACTGTACATCGCGATCTCAAGCAAAGTTTGAATGAAAGAAAAATATACATATAGATTGGGGCATAGAGATCTCCACCAGCCAATAACCTGAATAAATGAAACTAACATCCATCGCTTGCTTTCGAAATTCTGTGCGTCCTCACATTTAACTCGATCCAAATTGAAATGACGATGCTTGTAGCCAAACTTTCAACCAGACGTGTGTCATGCCCCAAAAATATGGGAGTAACTGGTATGAAACATGTAGAAAACACATATCCTTGAAGCTTTAATTTAATAAAATTTTCTATTTTTTTAAATTATAATTATGTTTGAATTGGATTTAGAATATCTTTAATATTTTTCCTTCAAACAAATGCCTTGTAAAAATTTCAGCAAAACTGCTCCTGTGAACAGGACCTCCCAAAATTCTACAGCATAATTTTTAAGTAAAAATTACAACAACTAAGAACTTGCTTCTTTCGACCAACAGACAAAATGTATAAAAAAATAAGGACCCAGCTCAATAATTTGGAACACCTAATCATATCTTCAAAATATAATGCAACAATTTCACAATTACATCAAAAGAGATATTTACAAAACAAAATCTCCACCCTACTTATCAAAAAGTCTCTTAGTCGTCAGTAGGATGTAGCTACATTATTTGAGACTAAACCAATACTTTTCAATAATAGTGTCTCAACAATAAAATTTTTAGGATTAAAATGAAAAATTTACAACAATTATGAAAATTAAAAAGAAATTTAACGTATATAATAAAATTAGTAGACTTAAATATATATGTATATATGTATATATATATATATATATATAATTTACAAATAATAGAGAAATCAAGTTTAACTATCTAAGCTACAATCTCTGTCTTAAATAATTGAGTTACATAATTTACCTTGTAAAATCAAATACGATCAAACAACAGTTTGTTTAATGAAATAAATTTAAAAAATAATAATAAGTTTGCAAAATTTATGTTTTACCAGAATTTTATCAGAACGATTAACAAGCATAGACATAAAGTCTGTAAGGTTAAGAAACTAATAAGTTTCACAAGAGTTAGTAATCAACA